ACATTTTTCTCAGAAAAGGAAGGGACTATCCAGACCTTTATATGGAATAACAAAAGACCACGCATAGCCAAAGCAACACTGAGCAAAAAAAAAAAAAAAATTCCAATGACATTTTTCTCAGAAAAGGAAGGGACTATCCAGACATTTATATGGAATAACAAAAGACCACAGATAGCCAAAGCAATTCTGAGCAAAAAAATAAAAAAATAAAGCTGGAAGCATAACACTACCTGACTTTAAACTATACTACAAAGCTATAATAACCAAAACAGTATGGTACTGGCATAAAAACAGACACACTGATCAATGGAATAGAATAGAGAATCCAGAAATCAACCCACACACCTACAGCCATCTGATCTTTGACAAAGGCACCAAGCCTATACGCTGGGGAAGAGACTGCCTCTTCAGCAAATAGTGCTGGGATAACTGGAGATCAATATGCAGGAGAATAAAACTAGACCCGTATCTCTCACCATATACTAAAATCAACTAAAAATGGATTAAAGAATTAAATATATACCCTGAAACAATAAAACTTCTTAAAGAAAACATAGGAGAAACACCTCAGGAAGTAGGACTGGGCACAGCCTTCATGAATATGACTCCAAAGGCATGGGCAACCAAAGGAAAAATAAACAAATGGGATTATATCAAACTAAAGAGCTTCTGCACAGCAAAAGAAACAATTTACCAACAGAGTGGGAGAAAATATTTGCAAAATATTCATCTGAAAAAGGATTATTATCCAGAATATACAAGGAACTCAAACAACTTTACAGCAAAAAAAAAGTAACCCAATTAAAAAATGGGCAAAAGAGCTAAATAAGCATTTCTCAAAGGAAGATATATGAATGGCCAACAGACATATGATAAAATGCTCAACATCGCTCAGCATCCGGGAAATGCAAATCAAAACCACACTGAGATACCATCTCACCCCAGTTAGGACGGCTAATAATCAAAAGACTGTGAATGATAAATGCTGGCGAGGTTGCAGAGAAAAAGGAACTCTCATACATTGTTGGTGGGACTGCAAAATGGTGCAACCCCTATGGAAAATGGTATGGAGGTTCCTCAAGCAATTGCAGATAGATGTACCATATGACCCAGTATCCCACTGCTGTGAATATACCCAGAGGAATGGAAATCATCAAGTCGAAGGTATACCTGTTCTCCAATGTTCATTGCAGCATTATTTACAATAGCTAAGAGTTGTATCTAGCCCAAAT